TTTCTGGCTTTTAATAATGCATCTAGTAGCAGAGTTTAATACATTCACGGTGATCATGCAGACTACCAAGGGTAGAGCTCGTGCCGATAGTTTTTATGCTTTTAGAAATAACATGAGTAGCACAATATAATGTGAGTAGCACAATATAATGAGTAGCACAATATAATGAACAAGAGAAATAATTTCAGTTAAAGGCAGCTCATTGAGTTTTGCATCTACTGAAGCCTTTAGAAAAGTGTTCGTTCGTAAACATATTTTTGTTTGTTGAACGTGAGGAAACATTTTTAAAACCTTGACTGTAGACGGAAAGGTCACCTGTAGATATCGTCGTGGAGCCCATTCGTGTTATCAGAATTCCGTGTTAGCAAACGGCTGCTACCACAAAGGTGGCAAGTTCGATTCCGGCCGTGATGACCGCATTTCGATGGAGGAGAAATTATTGAAGCCCGTTAGCTGTGCCATGGCAGGACACGTTAAAGAACACCAGACGGTAGAGATTTCCGGAGTCCTTCATTACGGCATCTCTCATCATCATATCGTGGTTTGGGGAGTGAAACGCCACACATTATTAAGGAATGACAATTGGAAGATTAATATTCGCTTACGTTTCATGGATGCTTCAGGGTGTTGATGCATACAAGAATTGATCGTTCAATGAGCTATTTTATAGGTTAGATTAGGGCTATGAAGCTCGGACTCAATGCTCCATTTCTAGAATGCCCTGCAAAGGCTGATCAATCAATCAATCAATCAATCAATCAATCAATCAATCAATCAATCAATCAATCAATCAATCAATCAATCAATCAATCAATCAATCAATCAACCAACCAACCAACCAACCAACCAATCAATCAATCAATCAATCAATCAATCAATCAATCAATCAATCAATCAATCAATCAATTTGATTTTCCTTTTACACTCAAAAGGGAGGAGACATGACTAAAAGCTAATACAGCTAATAGATTTACTGTCGGATCGGTAAGAGTCTGACGTTAAATTATCTGCAGATATGGATTCCAGGGTTTTTGGTAAATAGGGATGTTGATAGCTGTTTGTGAAAATAGTTACGATATAACATAGGAATCGCACTTCTTAACCTTACGGAGCCTGGTTCAATTTTCCTTTTCACGAAGCCACACGCAATGAAAATTAAGAAGTTAGCGTGACTCCCTTGCAGAATGCAAACCTAGAACCGATCGAGTTAGGCTGAGGTTAAGCGTGCACTACAGCGGCGTTGCGAAAGCGCTTCACTCGCACGCTATGCGTGATCAAGTTCTAAAGTAAACGGCCATCACAGGACCTCGTTGCGTCGGCAGTTGGCGTCGTTTTATTTCACTTTTCTTTATTTTCTTCCTGTGAGTCTTTTTCTTATTTGTGCATGCACGTCTTTTCTAACGACTGTGTGCTGTTCCTTAAGATGGAGTTGTTCTAACAGTACCAGGACTCTAAGCGGCAGTAGCACGAAGCAAACAGCTAACGGTTTTTCTAGTCTATGAATAGCTAAATCGCTCGAAGAATCGGCATCAACGGTGGAAGTTTGCGTTAAAGATGGAGCACAAATGCGGAGGCGATGCTGGTTAGAAGCATTATGACCAATTGCAAGTTGCAGGTACCAGCTAGAAACACATTGCAACCCCTCACCCTTGTTTTATTTCACGTGACCATTTACATTGCCGACCTAACAAAGGTTTAATATCGTAGGCGTGGTTATATAATGACTCTGGTAGCTGTGAGGTTTAAGTATACAATCTGAACGCGGCATAGGGACAACGTAGCTCAAGTTGATGTGCGTGTTCTCCTTGGCTTCGTAATAAGTTTTGGGAAAAAGTGGTGCTCGTGTTGGCGCCCACATATGGAATCATCATTATAAAACGATTCCATGAGCCCAGAAGCCGTGCTTACTCAGGTTTTCTGGCAGCACTGGCCTATTTGCATTGTCTGGACTGGCCATCGCATGCTCCGCAACCTGAGTAGGAAGATGCAGAAGTAGATGAAGAAACCGAAGATCAACGTAGCAGTGGTTCATTTGCGTAGTTTATATGACGATAAATGTTCCTCATGTAATCTTAATGAACAAACTTCTGTAATGTTCCGTTCACCCAACCTCTTCATCAAGCCTCTGCGTCTTCTTTCTGAGGTTCACGAGCCTGCAATGGCCGGTCGTAACAACATTTATAGCATACTTTTTCACTAATTTCTCCCACTGCTTGATCTTCAGAGAGAAGCTGCTTTATCTCTCTTGATCTATTAGGAAACTATTTTTTTAGGTTGGCGCACCTTTTGTGCGTGACATCTTGAATTGAAAACAAAAGCTGAAACCAAAGTTGAACAATGGGATCATTCGAAACTGATTCAATAATGAGAATGTTAAAGTTATCAGAGCAGATGAGCGAAATCATTTAGAATTATCAATAATTTAACCGCCTTTATTCAATGCTAGCACGAGCGCACATAAGTTGTCGGTTAGCTACAAATAATGAGCGTCGGCAGAACGCAAGTGAACACAGTAGTTCATCTCAGGTCACTTGGTAAGACGTCCAGCTAGACTTTCGCGATCGCTCCATATTCTCGCGCAGACATTCATTCACCGTCATTGAATTTGGGTGGAGGCAGAAAGAAAAAACATTATCATCGAAAGACAGGCAGAGTGAGAGAGAAAGAGAGGGAGAACAAAAGGTTAGGTGCCGCCATGAGATTCAAGGCAGGACTTGTGTGAGCCTCCTCGCATTTACGCATTAGGCTAATGATGGGCAAGAATGAAATGCAATGGAAATTATATTGCAGGGCCAGAAATATGAACAACTGTCGGCCGAATAAGGTTATAGTGCTTGAGCTACGCGATGAAAAGGCTCAGTAGTTGTTCACGTTACTCAACAAAAACGACCTCGACGAGGCGAATGCAGCGCTGGCGTGCTGCGACGAGCGTAAATTTAAATACTCGGCCTGGTGATTTCAAGCATTGCGGGAAAGAAAAAGAAAGACGTTATTACATCAAAGTTCAGTCAACGTCTGTGCTCGAAAAAGAAAAAGAAAGGAAAGAGAATAATGCGTTTTTTTTCCCGCAAGAGCGCCACACCAGAGAGTAAGAGGGCGAGCGAGAGAGAGAGAGAGAGAAAAGCTGGGAACGAGGTAAATGAAAATTCTGACATATCGATAGTCTTTTTTTTCTATTTTTTTATGTATTGCCCATATTTGTCGGTCTCTTTGTCGTAAACGTTTTGCCGACAGGTCCTACGTGAGCGTTATTATCTTTTAATAAGGCAGGCTCGACATGGATTTTCAATAGAACTTCATGAAAGGGCGCTTCCAAGCGGAGGCATCGCTCTTCAATGCTTTCCAGCTTTCATTAGAAGCTGTGAAAATGAAAAAAAAACGCCCGAAAATAAAAGGGGAGGAATATTAAGGTTTCGTAGCATCGTAGAACTTTTTGAGAGGATTGTCTTCCTAATTAGAAAAGACCTTGCAGTGCTCTGGCATCTCTATTCTCAAAGTTTGTTCAAAATTTTTTATAGCAATGAGGTGAATTTAGGAGAAAGAGGGGTGGCGTTTGCTAAATGGTGATATAGCCTTGCAAGGTATTGTCAACAACTTCTCCACCTGAATGCCCCTTTTCCAATGCGGGGTAGATCATTGCGCCTATTCCGCGGGGTTGTACGCGCCGAAACCATGATATAATTTTGTGAAATTCCGTAAGAGAACGTTCCTGAAATTTTTTAGCTTTCTTAAATTCTGAAATTCTGAAATGTTTTAGGTTTCTTAGCTTGCACCCGATTCAAGTACTCGTGAATCTACAGTATCTCATCCTCATCGAAATGTGAGCGTGACTGCCGAGATCTAAACTGTGTATTCCGGATCAGTAGCTGCGCACCGTAACCTTCGCACCACCACAGCGGCTTCTTACAGATCTATTAGAGATTCATTGCAAGTCACCCTGCCCTAACTTTGTGGACACACGAGCAGTTGGTCATTCGCAATTAAGAGTGATTTGCAGGAGACATTATAGGAGAAGCCGATGCAGTTATCTTCAAGATATGCGATTTCGTTAGGGAAACAAAATGCAACTTGCACTGGAGTGTTAGGTAAAGGTTACTGTCACGCTATTGCTACAACGATGGCTGCTTGGGACGTAGGTGTTGACACCACTGACCAGTAACGTACAAAAAAAAAAACAGCCAATTCATAAACCAGCCTATATATGCCGGGGCCCCTCCGCGGTGGTCTAGTGGCTAAGGTACTCGGCTGCTGACTCGCAGGTCGCGCGTTCAAATCCCGGCTGCGGCGGCTGCATTTCCGATGGAGGCGGAAATGTTGTAGGCCCGTGTGCTCAGATTTGGGTGCACGTTAAAGAACCTCAGGTAGTAGAAATTTCCGGAGCCCTCCACTACGGCGTCTCTCATAATCATATGGTGGTTTCGGGACGTTAAACCCCACCTATCAATCAAATCAATATTGCTTGCCGGGTTCAACTTGTGACTAGGATGCTACAACAGCTTAAAGAAACATGCTGTGCAGATTACGTTTTATTTAGTCTTGGTTACAATGTAGCCATTGTTGTCGCAAAAGCGTCAACGATGTGCGGCAGCGACCACAAGGAATTGTCATTACCATAGCCCAAAGGAATAAAGCAATGAATACCTTCCCCTCCCCGACAGTCTTGTCATGCGGTTCTTTAGTTAGACGCATTTGCAGGGCCCTACGCTTCGGCTATAAATATTGAAGTTACAGTACATAACGTATTCAAGATTTCTTCACCCAAAGATAAGAAACAAAACCTACACTAGTTCTCGTTCAGGTAACTTTTGCCAACGTAGTTCACGCAATGGCTAGCGTTTGCCATTCATCATTGCTGCCGCTTCAGACATCTTGCCACCTGTTCAATCGCACACGATGCTGCCACGGAATGTAACACACCAATGCACTACCGGGAACACGAGAAACACACGGAAGATAATACATTGGCAGAAAACGAAATCACGTAGTCGGCACAGTCTTACGTTTTTTCGAGGTCTGGTAGGGGTCGTCGGAGTCGACAACTTCTGTGTGCGTGGTGACGCCAAACAGGGGGTCTCTGAGATTATGGACTTCCATGGCGTGCTCGTAGGCGTAGCGGATCTCCTCCTGGCGAGGCATGAATATTGCTCCTGCAATGAACACCACAACAGTCGAAGGTCACATACGACTGTCCAAGTTGATCTCTTGGTAACAACTGGTTTATAGTTTTGCAACATGTAGTGTTATTATCACTATGCGCTGTGGAAATGTAAAGAACAAACAGGAAGAATTAAGGCAAATTCGCATTAGTAGTGCCAAGTGTGGAGGAATCGATGAGCTGGGCGTCCTTCTCGTTTCTTTTCGATTTTCTCTTTCTTTCCTCTTGTGTTTTTCTCTTTTCTTCTTGCAAATTTTTTTCTGTCTGCTTGTTTCTTTAGTTCTTCTATTTTTCTTTCCTTTTTCCGCGTTACTTTTCTGTCTTTCTATTTGACGCTTACTTCCTCTTTTTTCCTTTTTTATACTTCACGCCACGCTATGGCAAACATACGAGAGCCCATACCGTTAAATTGTTCCGCACTTGTTATAGTCATCAAGGTGCTCGAAGTGCAAGACGAAGAAGGCTTGACGATGGTGAGAGAACGAGCTGAACGTGCTACAGACCACTATACCATACGCTGTTTCACACGAGTTACGCTTAGTGACGACGACAGCACGCGGCAGCGTACGAAAGCCCAGGCCACTAACGTTCTTTCCACTTAATAAGGATGGAACATACTGAGAGAAGTTTCACACAGAGGGGAAAGACGCCTGTCCACTTTTTCGAAAGAAGGGCATTATACGAGGAGTTGAAGAGCCGTAACAAAGAGAAAATACATGAGCGAATGAAAAGAAACACACGTGGAAGTAAAAAAAAAAAAGAGGGAAATGAAAAAAAAAATGCTTCGCTAGCGAAAGGCCAGTTCAGTTTATTGAACGCTGTGTCAAAATTTAGCAACTATAGAGGTAACTCAGTTAAAATAGTAATATGTCTATACAGTGTTCTACATTTATAAAAATTGGGAGGTAGAGAGCCGTTGATAACTTCTGAGGAGGAACGACGGGGCTGCACGAGAATGCAAGCGAATGCTCACCAATTTATGCGCACCGACTGCCTGTTCTATTGCTTTGCGTACCTTTTGCTCATAGCAACTGTGTTTAATTATTTTCTTTTCCTAATACTTGAGCAGCCAAAATAGACACGGCCTAGGCAAACCTCCCTGCATCTCCTTCTTGTATGACGCTTTCACTTACGAATAGGAGGAAGAGATTATTTCAAAAGTTAGCGCTGGCAGCGTACCCGAATGCGTTAAACACATTAGCAAAGCCAGGTTTTCTGCTTTTCATTAGGGCAAGTACGCGCTTAATGACTGCTACATAGAATACGTATTGCACGTGTTTTCTCGCTAACGCAACCCAAGCGAGGCAGGAGAATAAGGGTTTTAGACATCGGCTCATTATACATAACCGTATACTACCATATATCAGTGCAACTGCCAAGCGAAATTTCACGTGCCGTCACAAAATTGCCATGTCATTTCGAGAGTGGTGAGGAATCTCTCTCTCTCTCTCTCTCTCTCTCTCTCTCTCTATATATATATATATATATATATATATATATATATATATATATATATATATATATATATATGTGTGTGTGTGTGTATGCGTGTGTGTGTGTGTGTGTGTGTGTGTGTGTGTGTGTTACAGCCCCAGCTTTCGTATGCTGCGGCTCGCAGAAACGGTAAACGTAGCACTGTATCATCCAGTTTTGCGTCTTCCGTTCTCGGGGAAAGACAAAACGAGCCGTGCGTCGGTCCCGAAGAAGCAGGAGACGGGGCAGCGTATAGTGCGCAAGCAGCGAAATCTTTTTGAAAAAATCTGAGAAACGAAACGAGAAACTGCGGCGGTCTCGGGGTAAAGGTCTGCGCCCCCGCAATGCCTTCGCGGATCTCCCGCCGTTCCCTTCGCAAAACAGAAACCCGAGTCCCTTCTTCGAGGCATGGCAAATGAGCCGTGAATGTTGCGCGCTCGCTCGCCTTCAACGGCCCAAAATCGGCGCATGCTGTGCTCGTGACGGCCCCGTATAACGCAGCCTGCCCTCTTGTTGATAGCGCAGGTGGCGGATTCGTATGTAATGGAAAAACAGAAGGGAAAACCCCACGGAAAAACGTGCTTCGCTGGCGTGGCGTGGAAGTCTGTTGTTTTTTTGCTCGACGGAGCGTTTAAGGCTCCGCGCACTGAAACGTCGAAGAAACGTTCTTTCCTCTCGTTCGCCGCAGATGGCCCTGTGGCTGACTGCTAGCTGCCATTCGGGAAACCCTTCCGGCGCGCTTGCTCACGCGAGAAATTCGCCATCGGAAGCGAGAAAGTGTATTGTTACTCAATGAAGTTTTTTGGAATGAGGAAAAAGAAAAGCTTAAGTTCGTCGCTGTAAGCTTTTCGGGGCAGGGTTGCTCAGTGCTGACTGCAAACAAATCATCTGTGATGCACATTTGCTCTTCTTCTTATTTTTTTAATGGGCGACGCTAACTAGGCAGTGGTTATGATAAGGGAGATAAGCGGTTGTGAAATTCGACACAGTTATGACTAGACTTTCGATATCTCGGTCCATTAAATTATATAGGATGCGTTACTATCAGAGCACCCTGCATGCTAAATGAATATGATATGTTGGCTCAAGTGGACGGCAAATACAAGGAAAAATCGTTTATCAGACAGCAAATCGCTGTTGGTAACGTTGGACAGAACTTATTACGACGCGTTATGTTGTAGAGGTGAACGAGCATAGCTTCAAATGAACAAAACGTTTATTTGATGCTATGCGTGAAAAAAAAAACGGTGAATTGTATTCTGGAGGCGCTGCGTTAGAGAGTCTTGATCCGTGCAGAGAAGGTGAACATGCGCATCGAGGCACGTCAGACATGAGCGCTATCTGGCAGTGATCTTCGAAAACGAAGGAAGGCGTGCGCGCCTGTCTCGGAGGCGATAAGCTGTAGAACGCAAAGCGACGGGAAGGTGCCACCACCATGTCGTCTTAGCAAAGCTTTGAAAACACTTGCTTTTTTGAGCATCGCGTTGCATTGTGAGCGCAGTGTGATAAATGCTACGATCCTTAGAATTAGTTATGTATGCCTTCTCTAGTATAAACACACACAATAAAAATATTGACGTGTTGGTATGGTGCCTCAGATATGCGGAATTATTGATATTTTTAATTGACAATCGCACAACTATGAACGCTGAAACTTGAGCAATACTGGTGGACGTTCATACGATGAAGTTGGCCGTTTAGGTTATCGTTACGGCGGAAAAACAGACAGACAGACAGACAGACAGACAGACAGACAGACAGACAGACAGACAGACAGACAGACAGACAGACAGACCAAAATTTTTGCGTCGAAGTACCTCAAGAAAGACTATCGTTTTTAAAAACTAACTACCTTGCGCAACAAGAAATATAGGTGGCAGTATAGGAAAGTATCTGCGACGACCTGCAGGAGTCTTCTCTGGTAGGAATTCTTTCCCGAATCGGGGGGGACTATGTTGAAGAAAACGCTCAAAACGATTGAAGAAAACGACGTGATTGCATTCGCTAGTCTCTGGTGTCGCGTAGAAATTTTCCGCGCTAAGGTGAAACGATTCTGCCGTAAAACCACTGAGTTTGCTCTCGGGTTCAGAAATCGGTGGTCATTTGCTTTCCCGCTTTGCCGCTTCCTGAACGGATCCGAACTGATGTCGAAACCGAAGTTGCTTGGCGAGCCGTTTTATTGGCGAAATTGACGCGGCTACGTGACCGCACTGGTAGTGCGGCGAGAGCGCTAACGTAGTGAGCCAATTCTTGTATTACCTCGCCTGGGCAAGTCATTCCGAAAATCGTTTTAGAGAATTTACGCCTCCGTGGTCTATACGATGCTTTATTCGGGCTTGAAAATTCCAATTTAAGATAGCCAGACACGTGTTTCAGTTTGGCCCGCAGAGTATAGCGCGTATAATAAACTACCAAATGCAGGGCCCGCCGGGAATGTAGCAACAAAGTTGTTGATCGTACGGCGACCCAAAGCGTAAATTGAAACCGTCATAGAAGTTGTTTTTATTTTTTTTACTATGAAGGTAACTGGTGCATCAAGCTCTTGTAAAAGAGCAATAAATAAAACTTAGTTCAGATGTTATATATAGCAGAACTATGTATTGCGGAGTTGCGACATGCCGCAGTTAAGAAATTCAATAACAATTTCGGCTCTCGGGGTTCTTTAACGTACGTACAACGCGCGACACCGGAATTGTATCTCGAGCTTAGTAAAAAGCGGCCGTGACGGCTGGTATTCAATCCCACCACTTAGCCCTTGGCAGTGGAATGCCATAGCAGCCAGAACTTCGGCCGAGTGAAGCTTACATATGTAGAAGAATATAAACCTGAGCGAGTTGGTTAGCGTTTATTTCGAAGCAGCGTGCACGGAACAGGGATGAAAATAGAGAACAAAGAGGTGCATTTAAAAAACAAGTATATCATAGCAAAGGTTGTGAGGCAGCGCCTGCTTGTGCTCCTCATTTGCTTCGTCCCTGTCTCGTGCGTGCTGCTTTAAAATGATTAACATGCATATGTACTTGGAAAAATTTTTTTTTACATGCGTAGTATTCGTGTTGTATGAAGAGAGAGGGTGAGGGCCGACATGGTGTGCTCCTCTGTAGTAGTCGATAGAACTCCACTATGCGGAAATGGATCCTATTTCTCTTCCTCTTTGTCAAACAATATGTAATTCGCAGTGTTATACGAAACGGTGTTCCAAGCAGTGACGTTCCAGAAACTAGTTCCTTTTGGGAGGAATGAAGGAACGCCACCATTTCATTCGGGGTCGACGGTACTGTAACGGTAACGGGTTACATCTACGACGTAATGGCAGGGAGCAATGGCGTTTCTTTTGTGAACGTTCCACGGCATTCGACAGGCGCCCGCTCACGCAGCGCACCATGGGTGGATGTCTTACCGCGTCAGGCACGTCAGTATGTGGCATACTGGTTTTCACTTCAAGGCACCCGCCAGGAGCGCAGGAAAATGAGCGACGCTGACACCGACCGCGTGCGAGAGGGACAGTTGACCC